ATTTTTACTCATATAGACTATAACATATGCTCCCATGATTTGATAAACGATAGATTATGTTGTTATGCACCTTCTTTGTTTGAAAATCAGTACTAGTACATATTACAAACTTTTAGAAAAAATGATGTATTGTGATTTTTCACACAAATAAACCATAATTTATTGTGATTTTTCATACAAATGAACCACAACTTATGCTCCTCTGATGTAAGAAACAAATATTATGATGTTATGCCCCTTTATTTGAAAATTACTATTAAAAAAGTGTTTGAAAGGTTAATGATAGTGTTGTCGTGCTATTTTAATTTTCACACAAAAAAACCATAGATTATATTCTTCTGATACAAGAAAAAATAGATTATGATGTTATGCATATTATTTCTTTGAAATTGCTACTTAAAAAGTGTTATCAAGATTTAAAAAAAATGTGATGTTATTGTGTTATTGTGGTTTTTTACACAAACGAATGCTATATTTTACTACTCTCATGTGAGAAATAATAGATTATGTTGTTATGAACTTTCTTTATTTAAAAATTGCCATTAAAAAAGTGTTTCAAAGTTTTAAACAATTACGATATTATATTGGTATTGTGGTGGTATTCTGGGTTTTCACACAAATGAACCATATGCACTTCTTCTTTGATCCGAGAAATAATAGGCTATGTTGTTATGCAACTTATTGATCGAAAAATAATCTTAAAAAGGTATTATGAATTTTTAGAAAAATTGTGATATTGTGGTGGTATCGTGATTTCTCACATAAATGAATCATAGTTTCTCCTCATCTGATGTGAGAAACAAACGATTATGATGTTATGCGTATTCTTTGTATAAAATTTTTTATTTAAAGTGTTACAAAATTTTAGAAAAAAATGATTTTATTATGTTGGTATTATGATGATATTGTGGTAATATTATATTTTTTTATACAAATGATCCATATCCTTTGTAATTTTGATGTGAGAAACAATAGACTGTGTTATTCACCTTCTTTATTTGAAAAATACTACTTAAAAAATGTTGCAAAGTCTTGGAAAAAATGATGGTAGTGTGGTGTTATTGTATTTTCTTACACAAATGATCCATATTCTCTTCTCCTGTAATGTGAGAAATAATAGATTACGACGTTATGCATCTTTTTTTATTTAAAAATTGCTACGAAAAAGTTGTTGCAAAATCTTAGAAAAATGATGGTATTGTGGTTTTCCACACAAATGAATCATAATTTCAACCTTTATGGTGTGAGAAACAATAGATTATGATATTCTGTATTTCTTTGTTTAAAAGTTGTTACTTAAAAGTGTTACCAAGTAAAAAAAAGGAAGTGACATTGAGGTGGCAATTAGTGGTATTGAAGTAGTATTGTGGTGATATTATTATTTCTTTATACAAATGAGTCATATTTTCGTCTTCTTTGATGTGATAAATCACGACGTTAAGCACATTTTTTGCTTGAAAATTGCCATTAAAAAAGCTTTTCCAAGATTTAAAAAAATGTTGGTATTGTGGTGGCCTTGTGATGATATTTTAGTGATATTTTGGTAATCTTGTGATGGGGTTTTGGTAATATTTTGCTATTATTGTAAGGTTATTATGGGGGTAAATATGGATATATTGTAATTTTTTTTATACATTGAAAAAAATGGACCTCATTAAATTAAAAACATTATTTTCAATAATAAATCATGGTTACATATGATTGAACTATGAGCTATGAAGTAGTGCAATTAATAAATAAGATAAAATAAATTGAAATAAAATATGATTATATATATTTCAAACATGAGCAATAATGAAATGCACTCATATGTATATCCATTTTCTTCTACCAAGAGGAATTGAAGAAAATAGTAAAAGAATTAAACGATGATCAATAAATACAACAATTTGTATAAGCTTTTTTTCCCCCATTTACTTGGAAGCTCACTTGCTTTTTTTTTTGTCTTATTTTTGCTCTCATTTCCTCTTCCAGCATCTAGAAAACCCTAAACCTTGTGTGATAAACAACTCTATGAATTTAACAGATAAAAGAAAGCTTGTTTGAAATCGATCGACCAAACAACCTTGATGAATGCTTAGCTTAATCCTGAGCTTTGCCAATCTTGTTCGAAAACATAAGATACTTCGGCAACTCAGAGAAGCTATATGTGAACCCTAGATGGAAAAACATAGAATAGAAAAGCTATATGCATACTGAAAAAATGAGTGTGGGGGCAGGTTTTTGATAAGACAAATTTTTTTTTTAATTTTAGGGTTGGTTTCGGGCCAGGTTCAACTTACCGCCACAAATCACCTTTTATTATCTCACGAGGTGGATCCAACAGAGCAAACAATTGTCAATATGTTATTGGAGTCAGGACGTTAAACTACGTTCAAACTCCGAACATAATATTTTACTGAGGAGAGAAAAGAGTGTTTGTGATGGGAGCTCATTTGAGGAAGCATTATTGCGATTAACTGTCATGTCTTAAGTCGGAAGGCTATACGCTTTCATAATACTAGATGTATATAAATCTATTTTGTATTCTCCGAAGAAATAGATGCATAAAAGCAATTGTGAAAGTTATTTCATTAATAAATTCAAGTCAACAATAGACAACTAAATGAACCACAATAAGCTACAAATAGAGAAGAAGATTTATTAAAAATAATATGAGAATAATATAACATCAAAAGAAGAAACTACTCAAACATAACACAAATGATTGATATACAAACTAAAATATCATAAGTAAATCTAATGTTTAACAAGTTGGAACTGTGATGACGGTCATTCTAGTGACCTAGTAGAAGCTACTACAAGGAAAAAAAAAATAAAAAAATTGAGTTTGATAAATCAACTTAAAAATAACCACTACATATCAAAATATAAACGAAAGGATATTAGGGCATGTAGTATCATAAAAGAAGTTATTGTTGAAATTATCATCAAGAATCAATGATAATATGAATATGCTAAATCATTTTAATGAAATATATAATCATTAACAATAAATTTTATATATTTCATTGCATTCATTTCTAATCAAATCAAGTTTTGTTAGTGTATGACTTAACAATCATGTTAAATAATATAATTTTGACATGACAAATTATTGATAATTAATAAGAATAACAATTGAAAAAAATAAGACTACTACCATAATAAAATTAAATTTAATATATAGAAATATGTGCAACAATAAATTAAGCAAACCTTCATTTGATGAGCATTAGAAAAATCTTACAATGCGTGCGTAATAATATAAATGAAGTACAAAAGATATGACTGACAATCCTATAAATTAACTAAAAATATAATACAAATAACAAAGATAACTCCCATAACAACAAATGGTATATTTATCTTATAATAAATAACAATTACTTACATGAAGCGAAACGATGTAAAACTAACAATTAAATGAGGTTTAACCAATGATGCCGAACATAATTTTGTTTGAATGTTTACACTATAACTTATGATTAATTGCAAGCCAACTAAACAAGCATTTTTAAAATTAATTGATTGTCTGAAACATACCATCTACTTGAACTAGCCATCATTTCTTAATCAAATTAGCATGTTAATAATATTATTAAGAAAATAATAATAATAGGAAGATTAATGAATTCACCCAAAGTTCAACAACTATACATGGTATAGCATCAACACCAATATGCTAATAACTTAATTAGTTTAAAAATTGATTAAATTAAACATAATTAATAGTTTAATAGAATATCAATAGGAATAAAAGTGTCAAGTAATATATCTATAAAAGAATGATTAAACTAGAAATTAACTCTAACTTTGGGGAAAAGAAAAAATTGTGTTATGTGGTTAAAGAGGGGTAAGGGAGAGAGGAAAAAAAAAAGCTCAAAATTGTGGTTGCTTAGTCGAGTAATAGGAAAGCAAGGAATAGGGCTAGGGACAAAGAAGGTGAAAAGGGCCTTTAGGTGGCAGTTCGAGATGAAGGACTGCGACTATGGCTTCAGGATGTGGGAAGAGTTGCCCACTTGAAAGATTTAATGATTGCAAGAGAGGGGATAAGATGCCTTCGCATCACCCTTCCCTTACATATAAAGAAGAGACGAAGCATGATTGTGCAAAGAAAGCAATACAAAAAGGCAAGGAGAGATTACGAGAATCAAGTGCAAGAGCGTGTGCCAGAACTTGATTAAGAAACGAATGCTCAACCCATAGAAACAAAAGGTGGCAATTACAAAATCAAACGAATTACGGCTCGAACCGTTCATGATTCAAGTTAGGAGACATGAGCGACTAGCTTTGTGCATGAATGACTCGCCTCGTTATACTGACATATTGTGAAAAAGAGTGGGGCCAGTAACATGTTCTCTTTGAGGGAAAGTGTTGATGAGACCAATGACACACGCTTGAGAATATAGGTTTGTGATAAGAGTATGTTGACAAAAACCTTATGTAAGATTGGTGGCATATTCATTAGAAGAGTTGTTTGCAATGTCAGCTCAATGCAGAAGTCATTGATGAGACCACAAGAAGGAGATGAGGGGTGCCTCAAAGAAAGAGGTGACCATGTTCCTTTTCAGGTTTGAACCCATTTTGAACTTAACATGTTTTAATCAAATTTAAATACTTCTAATTCAAAAATTTGTTCACCACCATAAAAATGAAATAATACTGTTTAGATGTAAATAAAATGATACACACAAATTAGGGAAAAAATTACATACATACCACACCATTCCTAGATATTTACATTATCTAACACTTAATTTTTGATTTTTTTCATTTATGTTAACTTAGCCATGCTTAAAAATATGTGAAAAAATATGCTTAAAATATATGTTTTTTACATTTTAAAAGTGATTAATAGTGGTATTTTTGATATAATATAAAAGATTTGAGTAAAATAAATGTAAAATTAAAATTTTATGTGGTAGATATGTAAATAAATAAAAGATTTGTAGCATATATGTAAATGTCTCAAATTTAAATTTAGATGAGAGATGTAAATAGATAAAGTATGTAAATCATCCTCAGCCATAAAATCGGGAACCGCTCCAACTCATTTCAAAACCTGCCCTAGACCCTCTCCAATGGCAGCGGCCAGTTCGAGCCCTTCTCCTCCAGCCACTCGTACTTCTGCATCGCCGGTACGCTCCTTGAAATCTAGCTCAGATCTCCTCAAAATGTTCCGGTTCTTTTTATGTTCCTGCAGCTGTCGTTGCCATGATTCTTCACCCGCATCGTTGTTCTTAACTTCGATTCGATCTCTTCGTTTGCTTCCAGAATAAGGATGATCTACGCCCTATGGGATTAAAGATAGCGGTGAGATAACGATTTTCCTTCTTTGTCAATTTTCAATTTAATTTTTTTTGCGCAGGATTTTCCTCGGTTATTTGCTTATCTTTAGTTCATAGCAGGAACTGAATGAATCGCAGTCAGAGTTGCTGAGTAAGCTGCAAGGTTTGAAACAGGTAAGCTTTAGAAATATCCCTTTAACTTAATTTGGTTTATTTTATGTAAAAATTTATGTTTTGTTTTCTTACTAAAATTTTCTCTGTGGAAGGATTTGCAAGACTGGAAATCCAAATTGGACACTCAAGTTAAGACATATAAGGAAGTTAGTATTCTCTGACTTTTGTAGATGCAATCCGGTTATTTTTATTATTTTGCTGCATTTGAAGATCAATCTTGATTTTTTGCATAACATTTCCTGAAATACATTTGATCTTTTTTACATGCTTCACGCATCTGGATGTCAGAGCCATAGAATTAATCTGTAGAAATCCCCTCTTTTGATTTGGTGTCTGGTGTCTTTGGTGTCTGGATCTGCTTTGAAAATTTTGGAGAGTGCATCTGAAACTGCTCTTTCTAATGTGGTCTTTTTTCCAGCATTCTAGTTCTTACTTTTTTGCGAGCTTGTTGGTTAATAAATCTGTTGAAACACACAGGAAATTGTGTAATAACAAATTGCTCTTGAAAATATAACTATTTACTTTGTATTTTAACTCAAAAGTTTATATAAACCTCCATATAGAAATGAACAAGAAGTTGGGAAAAAAAAGTTAACTAGGCAGTTCTAGCCTTCCCAAGCTCCAAGAAGAAGAGGGGAAAAATCAGTGACAGAAAAGAGAAAATTTATAGGACAAATTTAACATAATATATTTGATTCAACATTATACACAAAATTTAAAAGACAGGTTGATGACTCACTCAAGAAGGGATTTATTAGATAAAGCATGAGCTCTTGCACTTTAATTGATATGTTTTCTCCCAAGAAGAATGACAATTGGATAACAGGTGCAAGCAATATGACTGTTAATACAATCGTAATCAAATGCAAATTTCCTTTTCGTTATTTGAAGGACAGACTATATATTAATAATGTAATATTTTCTGATATTATTTCGAGAGGTGGCTATCATTAGATCAAAATTAGTGACAACTTATTTTTAAAGCTAAATATGAATTATTTAAAGGATTGATTATGCTTTTTGTATTAACCAATGCACTTAGTGGTTTCATAAGGATAGCGAATTGTCTTAAGACCTTTCGTAGGAGAATTTCTTGTTGTTTAGTATAACGATATTATGATTCATAACAAGACGCAAGATGATCATTTGGTGCATCTTTAGAAATGTGATTTACAAGCTGAAATTTATACCTGGATATGAAAAAAACACTACTTTGAATCTCCATCTAAAATCTTCCTACATTTTGTTGTGTTAGAATATGTATTAGCTCTTGAGATAAGTTAAAACGGATTAATGGGTGAGAGGGAGGGAGGGAGGTATTTTTAATAGACTTATTAGTAAAATGAAAGAAGAATTCAAATGGATTAAATATCTAGACTCTTCATGGTATTAGAGAATGGGTGGTTGGAGAAGATTCAACAAGAACACCCAAAAAAGCAATTTGAGATAAAACGATAACCATAACAAAGACGACATGCATTAATCAAATAAAAGATATAAGATATGAGATATAAGAGTTTCTTATTCTTCAATAGATCCAGATATAAAAATCACCACCTAAAGGATTGATGAAAGAGACCCGAGATGTCACCACCAATAACGGAGGGATACAATTGCCACCACCCAACGCCGTTGATACAAACTCATCCCCATCTGGAAACCACAAAAGTAGCACAGTCTCTCACAAAACTCAAATGAACCAAAGACTTTTAATTAGATAGACGACTGCATATTTATAATCAACAAAAGACCTAAACTTTAGAAAAAAAATAACAAACGAAATTTCCCTTGCTACTATTATTTTGAGCGAAAACTTTAGCTCTAAAGAGAGGGCCGACCAGCCCTCCCCCAATTGGACCGAACCGGTCTGTGGTCCCCTCCCCATGGACCCCACCCCACATCAATTTACTGGGGTTGATGGAGCTTCAACCCTATCCTTTGAAGCTTTTGACTCCTCGTGATATAGCATCAACTCGACCATGTTGAAGGTGGAGTTGTTGTAACCTTCCAGGATTGGAGGGCCTTCGACTTCCATAAATTGTCTTCGTAGTTGCATGGTTAGGGTTTAGGTTTGTGCTGTAAAATGACGTTGTGTGAGAATGATTTAGGGTGCAGAAAATTATTTAGCTGATTTTGAAATCAGCAAGACGGATTAGGGTTTGATCAAGATTTAGCTATGATTTTGTGGGTTTATGTTTGAGAGGTGAAAGAGGGTATATGAGATTGATTTTGGGCTTAAAAAAATTATTTAGGGTTGCTGAGTTTGAAAATTAGCAAATGTGAGTTATGGTTAGGTCAAGATTTTTCTATGGTTTGGTGATTTTAGGTTTAAATGGATTTTGATAATCTTAGAATAGAATTAGGGTTAGACTAGTTTTGATACCAAATGATAGTGAAAATGAGGGTTTGGAGAATATTCAACAAAACAACTAAGAAACCAATCTGAAACACGAAAAAAACAACCAGAACAAAGATGAGATGCATTAATCAATTAAAAAAATATATAAGATTTAAGTGTTTGCTACTCTTGCAACTGATTAGGATACATAAATCACAACCCGAAGGATTGAAGAAGGAAGGAGGCCCGCAATGTCACCATCAATAATGGAGGGATATCATTGCCACCATACAATGCCGTAGATACATGCTAGTCCTCATTCTGGAACCACGAAGGGAGCACAATTCCTCACTGAACTAAAATGAATAAAAGATCCAAAATACAACAAAAAACTATATAGTTATAATCAACAAATGATCTAAACCTAATAAAAACAAACAAACAAAAATACTTTTGTTGCTATTAGGAGTGGGTGACAACTCTAGCCTTGGAGAGAGGTCTGTCCATCCCTCCCCCACATGGACAAAATCGGTTCAAGGAAACCTCCTCGCCCCACATCACTACATTTATTAAAATCCAAAGATAATTTTTAATTCTACCAAAGCATTTTGATTTAAAAACATGTTTGAATTGTTTGAAGTATATTACGAGCCTATAAATAGCTTTTTGTGGCATGTAATTATGATTTCTGGCTTGAATCAAAATTTCTTTTTTCAGTTTCAATCTTAAGAGTTCAAGTTGATTTGTGATTCATTCGAGTGAGTTACACGCACGCATACAATTACTTTATTTAAAAGACACTTGACGTGGGAGCTTTCTCGCATAAAATTTTTGTGGTATTGTAGCCAATACAGTACTGCGAGATTCAATATTGTGGGTTAGACAAGTTTTGATATCAAATGATACCGAAAATGGGGTTTTGGAGAATATTGAACAAGAACAACCAAAAAATCAATCCGAAACACGAAAAAAAAACAACCAGAACAAAGATGAGATGCATTAATCAAATAAAAAAATATAAGATTTAAGTGTTTGCTACTCTTGCAACTGATTAGGATACATAAATCACAACCCGAAGGATTGAAGAAGGAAGGAGGCCCGCAATGTCACCATCAATAATGGAGGGATACCATTGCCACCATACAATGCCGTAGATACATGCTAGTCCTCATTCTGGAACCACGAAGGGAGCACAATTCCTCACTGAACTAAAATGAATAAAAGATCCAAAATACAACAAAAAACTATATAGTTATAATCAACAAATGATCTAAACCTAATAAAAACAAACAAACAAAAATACTCTTGTTGCTATTAGGAGTGGGTGACAACCCTAGCCTTAGAGAGAGGTCTGTCCGTCCCCCCCTCCCCACATGGACTAAATCAGTTCAAGGAAACCTCCCCGCCCCACATCACTACATTTATTAAAATCCTAAGATAATTTTTAATTCTACCAAAGCCTTTTGATTTAAAAACATGTTTGAAGTATATTACGAGCCTATAAATAGCTTTTTGTGGCATGTAATTATGATTTTTGGCTTGAATAAAATTTCTTTTTCAGTTTCAATCTTAAGAGTTCAAGCTGATTTGTGATTCATTAGAGTGAGTTACGCGCACACATACAATTACTTTATTTAAAAGGCACTTGACGTGGGAGCTTTCTTGCATAAAATTTTTGTGGTACTGTAGCCAATACAGTACTGTGAGATTCAATATTGTGGGTTAGACTAGTTTTGATACCAAATGATACCGAAAAGGGGGGTTTGGAGAATATTGAACAAGAACAACCAAGAAACCAATCCGAAACACGAAAAAAAACAATTAGAACAAAGATGAGATGCATTAATCAAATAAAAAAATATAAGATTTAAGTGTTTGCTACTCTTGCAACTGATTAGGATACATAAATCACAATCCGAAGGATTGAAGAAGGAAGAAGGCACGCAATGTCACCATCAATAATAGAGAGATACAATTGCCACCATACAATGCCATAGATACATGCTAGTCCTCATTCTGGAACCACGAAGGGAGCACAATTCCTCACTGAACTAAAATGAATAAAAGATCCAAAATACAACAAAAAACTATATAGTTATAATCAACAAATGATTTAAATCTAATAAAAACAAACAAACAAAAATACTCTTGTTGCTTTTAGGAGTGGGTGCAACCCTAGCCTTAGAGAGAGGTTTGTCCGTCCCTCCCGCACATGGACTAAATCAGTTTAAGGAAACCTCCCCGCCCTGCATCACTACATATATTAAAATCCAAAGATAAATTTTTAATTCTACCAAAGCCTTTTGATTTAAAAACATGTTTGAACTATATTACGAGCCTATAAATAGCTTTTTGTGGCATGTAATTATGATTTCTGGCTTGAATAAAATTTCTTTTTTCAGTTTCAATCTTAAGAGTTCAAGTTGATTTGTGATTCATTCGAGTGAGTTACACGCACACATACAATTACTTTATTTAAAAGGCACTTGACGTGGGAGCTTTCTCGCATAAAATTTTCGTGGTACTGTAGCCAATAAAGTGCTGCGAGATTCAATATTGTGGGACATGGGAGATGGGCCATCAAAACTGTCCCGTTTTCTTTTCTTATGCTTTCTTTTTTATTATCGTTCATTCCTTTTTAGTCATTTCTTATATATATGTTGTATTAGGGTTTGGAAGTTAGTGTTTATTATGTTTTTGGTCAGGACAGTTGCTGGCGTTTAAGGTGTCCCTTTCTAGGTCTGTATCGGAAGGCGACAAGGTGCTTCGACTGTAACTCGTCTGAGGTGGTGATCTCATTCCAAGGAATCGAGTGTATTTCTGCTGTAGGTTGTTCTTGAGGTGGTATTTATCGCAGTCCTAGCCCTCCACCTTCGTCGCCATCGCAGTCCTAGCCCTCCACCTTCGTCGCCGCCCCTTTTACCACTCTCGTCTCGCTGTTTTGACTACTCTCTAGCCCTTTATACTTGTTGTAGCCACTCAGGACAACAACATAGCTATCTTTTTCCTGCAGTCCCGCCACCCAGCCACCTATTTCATTCATTCCAGCTATCTCCCTCGTTGCCGCAGTCCCGAGACAACCCTCCTATTGCTGTCCTACAGTTCACAACCCTTTCCCTTCGCTTCCCCTTGTTCTACCAGCCCTCCCCTTGGCTGTCACTGTTGTTCTAGGCCCTCCACTTCATTGCTAAGGCAATTCCAACCTCTCCTTTTGCTCTACCAGTAACCCACAACCCTCTTCAGCCTCCCTGCCCACCCAGCAGTCCTCCACCACCTCTGAATCAAGCCTTAGTGTGAGTCTATGTCTTGTTTTGTTGCAATTTCCATTCCAAATGTGTTTGGTTGTAACCGTCTATTTTTTTTTAGTAATAACTTTTACTTTTCCTATTGTATTTTGGGTTAACTTTGGTATCATTTGGTATCAGAGCTAGCTTAACATAAATCTTATTAGGGTTTAGGGTTTAGGGTTAACTTTGGTATTCTAGCATCCTTCACCCCCTCCAAAAAAGAAAAATCTTTTCCTCTCGCCCTACACACCTCCTTCCACCTATATATGCCTAAAACCCCAATCACGACACCGCCGAGACATTTATCAGAATCTGATCAAGAACGTATCATAATTGACATATAATGACTACTCCACCAAGTGCTATATCGGCTCGATGCCATTGAATAAAAATCAGGAGGGAATCATTGTCGCTGTAATTGTGAAAAGCCATGAAGGAGAGCAAGTAGAACACCGAAACCCCTTCCATATGGATGATTCAAGTAGAGAAGAAGACAAGCTACAAGGCTTTGGGATATAGTATCAATGGAGATCTGGAGCTGAAGTGCTTATTAGAAGATACAAAGATAAGGTGCTTGCTGGAAGATATAGAGATGAGATGTCTGTTAGAGGATACACGGATGAGACGCATGTTGAATGATACAAAGATGAGATGCCTGTTAGAGGATACAGAGATGGATTGCAGTTGGAAGGTACAAAGATAACGTGCTTATTGGAGGATATGGAGATATGTGAATGAAAATGGACCTACCGGACTTCATAGGGAGAAGGGATCCGGATGACTTCCTTGAGTGGATACAGATTGTTGAGCGGATCTTTGAATATAAAGAGATGCCCAATGAAATAAGAGTGAAACTCACTGCCAGCAAGCTGAAGTAAAATGTTTTCTTATGGTGACATAATCACTTCTTGGGAGAAGATGAAGCGAGAGATGCAATGGTTAAACCTGCCCCCTCACTATCGCCAGGATATTTTCTTGAAGCTCCATTGTCTATAGCAGGAGCTATCAATAAAGGAGTACACGACAAAATTAATGCAACTTAAGTTGAAGTGTGAACCGAAGGAGACATAAGAGCATACCATAGCCAGAAATTTGGGAGGCCTAAAACCCATCTTCAGTAATGTGACCCAACTGCAATCCCATTGGAAACTGAGGGTTGTGCATACTTTAGCATTGAAAGTGGGAGACAATCGAAGCAGAGCAGATAACTATCACCAGTTAGACATCTACCAACTATTGGAGGCCTTAGGTGGACCATGTCTTAGAGAGCGGAGTAGACTAGTCAGGAGCAGAAACATGCTACTCTGAGTGAGAAGAAGTCTGAGAAGAGTAGCACACTTACTACAGTCCTAACTAGGAAATGCTTCAGTTGTCATGGTTTTGGGCACATCACTTCCAGTTGCACAACGAGTAGAGTTGTGACTTTCATCGAGTAGGGGGCAGTGGAGAAAGTTAGTGACAAGAAAGCAATTGAAGAAAAGGGTGAGTACCAACTTCCACTAGATGAGGGCGAGAGCGCAACAATGGTTTCATCACAATATATTATATGCTCATTGCACCGTGAAGGGAAATGTATGTATTATCATCATTAATGGAGATACAAACAAGAATGCGGTGTTAACACAGATCGCCGTGACTCAGAAACTTCCTTGTCAATGTTTTGAGGAAAATAGGTTGAATCCTGAATAGGCGATGTCTTTCCCTTTGCTTTCATTCCATTAAATAATAATTTTACAATCTATGGTACAAAATCTATTTTAGGTACAAAATAAAGTGCATAATCTATTTTAGGTAATTTAATAATACATATTCCTAATCTAAACATTTAGTTAAAAGGGAAATAAATCATAATAAAAATATTGGAAATAATTTAAATAAGGAAGCTTCTAATTATAGAAACTCCTAATTTAGCTGCCTGATTTATGTCCTTTCTGATTGATATCTCCCTCAAATTGATGCTGACTAATCATGAAGCATCAATTTGCCAACAAGAAACTTTGTTGGGACCAACATTCCTCAAGCCGTGAGTGCCGAAGTCGAAGATGTCGAAGCCTCAGAGACAATTCTTGAACCAAATATGAAAAACAAGAAATCCTCTATCGTTGTTGTCCCGAAATTCGAATCATAGCCACAAGAAGGATTCGCGTCCAATTACACGATCCAGATGCTACCGATCATAACCTACAAATAGGATCTGCATCCTGTTATATGATCCAAATGCTACCGATCATGGCCTACAAGTAGGATCCGCGTTCTGTTACACGATTTAAATGCTATTAATTCTTCCTGCGACGACGAAGATGATTTGTTCCCTGTTCTTCACGCCAAAAGTGCTGAAGCCGAGATGCTGAAGTCGTGAGTGCCGGAGTCGAGATTGACGAAGCCGTGAGTGCCAAAGCGAAGATCTAGGGTTTGTCGAAGCCAAAGTTGTCAGTCTAGGAAGGAGTGCCGAAACCTTCAATCCTTAAGTGCGATAAAGAAGCCGAAGTTGAAGCGGAAGAAGCCGAAGCGGAAGAAGCAGTCGAAGATGCCGCAGAAGCAGCGATAGCTAGCGAAGGAGATCTGAAGCGGACAAAGCCTTCGACCCTTCGCCTCCCTGTTGTCGAAAAACGAAGGTCGTGCTCAGCTGGCCTCCCTGTTGTCGAAAAACGAAGGTCGTGCTCAGCTGCTTTCCTCACTTCCGAGCCACAAGCAAGACCGAACCAGGCCCACCTCCCCGTGCTGTGATGACTAGACTGCTACATACGAAGACCACTTCCATCTCCATATCTACCTCCACCGCCTCCATATCCGCCACCACCACCGCGATAACTGATGTCGCCACAGCCTCCATTTCCGCCTCCATCGCCGAATTGAGACTGAGCCCGGTTCACGGTGGTTTTCCTTCTGTCAAGGTTCTGCCCATTCATCCCCTTGATGGCGTTCTGCATGGCCTCCATTTTATTTATTCCAGCCATCCCCCTTGCTGTCGCAGCCCCAGGACAGCCCTCCTCTCGCTGTGCTATAGTTCACCCCTTCGTTGTCCCTCACTGTCTCACCCCTCCCCTTGGCTGTCATTGCCCTTTCAGGCCCTCTGCTTCACCGCCGTTGCAATTCCAGCCCCCTTTTTACTCTACCAGCAACCCACATCCCATTTCAGCCTCCTACCACCACTCCTCTACCACTTAGCCGACCTCTACCACCCCTAGATTGAGCCCTGGTATGAATTTGTGTCCTGTTTTGTTGTAATTTTCCTTCCAAGTATGTTTTGTTGTAATTGTCTATTTATTTTTAGTAAGAATATTTATTTTTGCTATTGAATAATCATCTCCTTGTAACTATGTGAGGGGTGATTTTTCATAGGTGTTTTAGTTCCTTGTTTTATTTTTTGTCTGCATAATTTGTTGGTGATTTATTAAGCACTTTTAATTTTGAAAAAGTATTGAAATGCTAGAAATCTAATTTGTTGAACAAAATTCAGTTCATAATTGAGTTTTGTATTTCTAATTCCTCACTGAATTTTCAAGCTATTTCGATCATGTCATTGCCGTTTGAGTTAAATTGATTATTAATTGTTTATATATAACAAAAATAAGTGGTTGAATTACTTGGTGGTTTTTGAACTATTTATCTTCAAATTATTTTGCATGTTTTTATGTTTCACATCATAAATTGTAGTAGAAAATTCTAACTCCTAGACCTGCATCAATTGAGCACTTCTTGATCATTATAGTTTGGAAATTTGTAGGTGATTTGTTGTGGAAGAGATGTTACATATTTCGCAATTATATCTATTTTTATTTGTGTGGGCTAGTCATTTAATTAGTTTTCATATGATTGCTTATTGGTGTGTAGACTTCTATACAATTCATTTGAATTCAAGTTATTTTTAATTTGGAAAGCTATATACTTAAAATAGTCGCATGTGTTTGATAGCCCTTCTCCATGCAGGAACTGATCGAGCTTAAGAAGGTGCTAAATACTGATCTGGATGAACTGAAATCAGTTAAGTTCTCTATATATTGTACTTCAAAATTTTTGCGAACTTGTGATGGTTATTCAATATTTTTTATTCCAGAACTTCCAAGAACTGAAGACCACTCTACAGCAGCAACAAGATGACATCTCTGTTAGCTTAAGAAACTTGGGGGTATTTTTTCTTCGTCTTTAAATCCTTGATCCCTGTTATGCTCTATAATTGCAGAAAATTTCATGTTTAACTCAACATTTATATTGTTTACCTTGCTTAAAATTTAAAAAGTCTTAACTCATTGAATTAGTATGCTTCATGTGTTATCAGGCTAAGGTGATATAGAAGGGTGCAGCTGTAAGATTTAAAAGGATTCATTATTGGAGAGTCAATGATATAGAGAAAAGAAATTAGTAAAAAATTTAGATGAACACTTCAAGGGGAGGGAGGCAAGGGGTAGATGCGAAGCAACGAAGGAGAAACTCTGGGAAGATTCCGTAAAGGAAGGCCACATGAAACTTCAAATATTTATTCTTCATATATTGCCCTTTAATATGAGTCTTAACACTCATTTTCTTCTTTCCAAACTAAATTACTTAAAAAGTACTTTATAATTAGAAATGAACAAAAATTGTCTTTTATTACATATGTACAACTTGCTTCAATATGTTAACAATTAGGATATTTATTTGGTCAGTATGTTGGAAAGAACTATATTCCAAAGAGTTGAAATGTTATTGAATAAAAAACGGAGGCCCTTAACTATATTGCAGAGCTGACAAAATTCATCCCAAAGATAAAGGGTGAACGGAAAGTCCATTCCAAAAATAAGTCCATCAATGAGAAATCAACCCAAAATAAGAGAAATAAAGGGGAAGAAGATCACTATATCCATAATATCAACAAAAGATTCTCTTCATTCATCATCAAGAAGTGATAAGCTTCAGAATGAGATCTTTACAAAATTTTAAGGTTTTTAGGCGCCTAACTAGACTGACTCAAATGATATTCAACTGGTTGGCTAATTGAAAGTAACTTTTTTTTTTTTTTTTTGGTGAACTTTTATCCAATTGGCTTTATGGCTAGGTTGATTGTTTGGCTTTGTTTTCTAAGATCCATTGAATTGGATAAGATGATGGTGCATGCTGTTGCAGGATTAGTGGGTTTTTTAGAGATTGATGAATATGCATGACTTGATATGGTTTCTTTTTTATGATGAACACAATATTAACACAGCATTGTGCGATATTATTCCAAGGTGTATGAGGGATTAATGAGTGCTGGTGTGCTTGTGAAAGTAATGCACATGACTTTTAGTTGCATGCACATGATTTGAGGGAAAAAACTGCAATGCGTAGAACATGCAGAGATAGTGTAGATGCAATGATGTTTGCAGTTCCTATAACTTGGTTGCCCAAAAAAAAAAAGAAATATTCATTTATGAATAGTTGGTGTTCGGATTGCTAGGAAGCTCATGTACAACTTGCTCATGTGGAAACAAACTTAGTTTGAACAAATATTTTTAGCTTATTTTTTATATGAGCCGAATACAAATAAACTTCTATTTGATTTTTGTTTGGCTAGAAATTGATCATGCAATTGGCGCTCTCGCTAGGAGGCAGTATTACATAGAAGCCAGTATGAGAGAGAGATGAATTGGATGTTATTCAAAGAAGTGTGATTGGCGAGGATACACATGGAGCATGATGAAGCTTTAATATCAAGTTGATATAGAGGGGTACTATAAAGATTTAAAAGAATTGTTTCCAAGAGGAGAATCAATGTAGTCCAAAGGAGAACTAGTTAAATAAGTTAGATGAATGAACGCCTCTTGAAGGATATATGTAAGGAGTTGAGGCAGTAGAGAATAAACGCCTCTTGAATGAATACCTTTTAATAATTTGATCACCCATAATTACAACTTTGTCACTAGAGCTATTACTAAAATTATATTTCATGTATTCAATTTTCATTTGACTCAAACGAAGGTCTTTAGACTCCAAAGTAGACCTCCATAAGTCAAGTTTTTCCTGAGCTCTTTATTAGTTTTATCCACAAGAAGGATATCATCAGCGAAAAGCATACACGAAGGTACATCATCCTGTAAAGGTCCATTAAGAGCATCCATAGCTAAAGCAAAAAGATATGGGCTCAAAGCCGATCTCTGATGTAACAATAACAATGAATGAAAAATTAACATTTATAAAATTGGCCCAAAATAGTTGCATGAAACCGATGCTGAGGATGAAGTAAATAAATAATGATGATAGATGATATTATATTATAATATTGCTATTATTTGACGTTTTATGTTTGCGTGATTTTTTGAATACCTTGGAATGATTGTTATTTATCTTTATATCTTTTAATGATTTTTTGCCAATGTTTTTGTAAAAAAAATGTCCCAAAATATTAATTGGGGTTATTTTATAAAGGAACACCTTATATAGAAACTGTAAGAACATCTTTTTTAACATTTTGCTTCTCATTTGGGCCTCCGCATCTTAATGACTTCTCTCATGCTATTAACTACGCTAATTTCTACTTTTAAATTTACTTGAAAAGTTAATCAAGAGTAAAGAGATCCACATGCAAGACAACTTGTGCTAATAAGTATTCTACTTTTAAATTCACACTTTATTAACTTAATGTGGAATGCTCTTATTGCTGCTTCTAGTTGTGAAATGCTGCCTTCCATGATCAAATGACTCCAGAAGCTCTTAAAAAGTCCCCCATTCTTCATTTTTCTCCACTATTCATATTTTAGAAAGATATATTTATCTAAAATTAGAGCAAATACCTTTTATTTTATGATGCAGCTTGAGGATATTTCTGAATCTTCCAAGGAATCAGAATCTGAAGATACCGCGAATGTTTCTGGTAAAACTGGGCCTTCTTTTTCATAAATTGCAAGGGAAACCAGTTCACAGGACTCTTCTGCATAGGTAGCACGAGGATGGGTTACATCAACATTGATAATAATGATCCTTAATTACTATTTCAGAGTTGGTATGTTATACTGCCATTCTACTATTTTAGTTTTTCTTTGTAGCACATTGGAAGTAATAACTCTTCTCCTGCAAGCTTTTTAACATTACAAATTCATATGCCTTGAAAGCTTCAAATCTATTGTGTCATATTTTACGCTGGTTTTCGACATTAAGTGTCGACCATCTGATGTTCAACTTATGTTAAGAAAGGCATAGATAGACCTAGGAAAACTTGAGCTTATTGTATAAAAATTAATCTTAATTTATTAGAATTAAATGAAAATATGACACTAAACAAGACACAATGGAGAAAAATGATTCTTGTAGCCAACCCCACGTAGTGGGATTAAGGCTTTGTTGCTGTTGATTTTGTTTTATGCAAACTCATTCGGCTATTAGGAATGGTTTCTTTAAGGTTTTCTCGGGCCATGGGCCTTATCGGTAGTTTTTTGGCGGATAACATGGAATCAAAGTTGCGGTGAGTTGAAACCTGAAATAACTTTTTACAGGTTTTGAACTAATTTGCATCCCATGAACAAGCAAGCTTCTTGTGAAACTATTATGATGTTGGATCTTGATTTGTCAATGAATTCACACCACATTATCAATATATATATCTTTAAGTAGAAAATAGATGTGTTTTCTACGAGGGGAATATTCCTCCTGTGATTTTATTTATTTATTTATTTAAATACAAGATGAAGCCCTCATATTATAAAGGTGTAGTTTGTTTAATAGGTTCTACGAGGGGAATATATTTTAATAATGGAGTAAAGTCTTTTTCGCTTCATCTTCAAGCGTGTTACGTTATTTAACTACTAGCAAATGAACCTCCTTTGCCCCGTTGATGCATTCCTCGATGTAGAGGGCATCATTCACAACAAACTCTTGAGGTCGTTCAAGCGAACGTCTCGGGCACGATTTTAGTAGGATTTATTTTCAGCATCCCATTTAGACATCGAGTCTATAAAAACTACATCCATACAAGGGGGCAACCCTAACTACAGTCTCGAAAGGTCGTTCAAGTTAATGTTTCGGGCACGACTGTGATATGTTGCAATCCCACGTCTCTTTCAAATTTGACTAAATCAAGAAAAATTTTAATTATTTCAAGACATTTCAGTTTTCACGTCTCCTGAAATCGAACACAGCTACTTTTATAAAATTCTACATTTCTAATTCATCCAATTGATATATATATATATATA